AAAAAACAACATTTCCAAAGAAAACTTTCTTGTTGTTGTGTGTTGCTCAGTGAAATGGATTCTGTTGCTGGAAAAAAAATGTGAAAAGAGGGTCTCAGTGAAACCTGGAATTCCTGGAAATGATTTGGACGTAAAAATGAAAAGTACTTCCTCAGCATTTGGTATTTCATCTTCTTATTTCAGATATTGATGACTGTGCTCCCAATCCATGTAGCAATGGCGGTAAATGCACTGACCATCTCAATAGGTACTCATGTTCATGTCTGCCTGGATACAAGGGAGATCGGTGCGAAAATGGTAAGGAACGTATTATATGCGTCAATGGAAAAGGGGAGAAGGAAAAGGTGGTGTTTGCTAATCGTCCTAACTGGAAAAAATCGAGCACTCTAAAGGTTGTAAATTGATGTAAATTATTAACATCAAATTTACATCATTTTTAACACTTACAACATATTTACATCAAATTTCAACCTTTTAAAGTGCGCGATTTTTTCCAGTGTTCACATCGCTGCACGGGTGATGAATTGCAAAGGACGCAACTTGACGCACTCTCCTGTCGATGCACTATATTACAGACACATTTTACATACACTTACACATAGGCGTGCTGCCGGCTAGGCGCTTCAAAACATAGCAAAGTCGACTGACCGCGGAGCACAGCAGATAGAAATGGTCCGTTTTTACTGAGGGAGGAAAAACCGGAAAAGTCCCGGAAAAACCCTCTAGAACGAAAGAAACTCATATTACATATGGCTTCCCAACCGAGATTTAAACAGGGTCCAGAGAGGTGACAGACCAACTCTCTCACCGCTTTTTACGGCTATTCTTGTTTCCCTAGACCTTATTGCTTCCTTGCTTCTCAAACGATAACAGTTCATTCTATAAGGTCTATCATTGTTTCCCCAGATATCAACGAATGTCAAGGTGTTATTTGTAAAAATGGTGGCACGTGTGTTGATCAGGTGAACAAGTTTATCTGTCAGTGTACTGCAGGATTTCATGGCACTTTATGTGATAATGGTAAGAGTAATATACATGCTACTAACCCTCCCCTCCCTCGGGCTTTTTAACTTTGTATTTGTCTTCTAATTTTAATCTAGACGTCGACGAGTGCAAGTCCAATCCTTGTCAAAATGATGCAACATGCGTTGATCAAGTAAACGGGTTTGTGTGCAAATGTATGCGTGGTTGGACAGGAACACTCTGTGATATAAGTAAGTAAATCATTTCAGTCATAGGCAGAAGCGTTGATTGTTCTATTCGTTCCTTGAAACTCTTGAAAAAACTTGGAATTAAAAACTCTTTTTCGACTTATTCTTTGAATATGATACATCTACAAGCTGTTTATGAAATTTCTGAATAAGAGTATTGAAATTTAATTAAGGGCATAGCTAGAAAGGTCTGAAAACATAACCAAGACATCAGAACAGTAACGTAATTTTAAATATATTTTTAAATATTAAAATATTGACAAACAGATTTTGATGACTGCAAGAATTCTCCATGTATGAATGGTGGAAAGTGCACGGATAARGTAGCTGACTATTCCTGTCAATGTTTACCTGGCTTTACTGGAAAAAGCTGTGAAACCAGTAAGTATGGTGTCATGAGATGTTGAGCAATATGCATTGGGGTATTGCAAATCAAAGTTGTGTTGTCAGCTTGGTGTTTTGTGGTGGAAAGTGCAAGCAATGTTTTCAGACTAAGAAGGCAAAATGGTGGAAACAAGCGGTAACTAGTGTGCGCTGCGTCGGAGTTTCTAAAGCTGAAACAGTTGTGTAAAAACATAAATTTAACACCGTAAAGAACTAGCTAGGTGAAAGARCTAAGGATTAACGTCGACAAAAGATTAGCGTCCGAAACATTAGTAAGTTGTTTCATCTACTTTTTTACGGTGTTAAGTTTGAAATTTCGCAAGTTTTATCTAAATGTCTGAATACTTTACACACAATTGAGGCTAACACAGCGTTAAAGAGAAACTCAACTATTCAAAGGATTTACTTGATAATGGCTAATATTGAATATACCTGTAAAATTCCTATATACAATGAGCATTGATTAATGAATATTTTTTGTGTGAACAGATATCGATGAATGTGCATCCAATCCGTGTAAAAATGGCAAGTGTGTTGATGGGACGAATGCGTATTCATGTCGATGTGACAATGGCTGGGGGGGCTACAACTGCGATCAAAGTATGTGATTGTTTATTTGTGAGCAACAACCCCATGGAATTCGAAGTTTTCTTTTATTATTATCGCCTTTTTTTACCAAAAGTGCAAACTGCTGAAAATACTATATCAAATTTATCAGACGTAATCATATCGAGAGGCKAAATAAAAAAGACATTTCCTCCTCTTGTTTTTATCAAATTTAATTACAGTTCATGRACTATAATTTATCCTGTGTTATACTAAATTATTTGATGGTGGAGTCCTTAAGGCTCGTTTACACTTGCGAGTTTTTGCAGCGCGATTGTCGCGCGACAATTGCCTGAGTTTCGAACATRCTTGAAATTTAGCTYCAACTCGAGGCGATTTTTGACAACACATGCCTGTTTACACGTATGATATGAGGTGCGCGAGAACAAAGTGGCGATTAGAGAGTTTAAGCATCACGTTAACGACTAACGGCAGAGCTGAACCAATGACCTAAGAATTTCGTGCCCGACCTAGTGCTTTTGGTAGTCATTTGAAAGAGCGGCTTTTCGCGATTATGGCAACCTCAAAATAACCCACTCTCGCGTTCGTTGAAACTGCAACGTTAAACTCAAAAAAGCAGKTCACGTGATCTGTTCTGCCGTTTGGCGTTTGCCGTGAACGTCATGCTAAACCTCTCTATTGACGCGCGACAATCGCGCTGCAAAAATCGCAAGTGTAAACAGGCCTTTCTGATGCTGTAGTACAGCGAAAGTTTGATTCTTTACTAATAWAGATGAATCACCCTCACACAGCATATTGGCCGAGTCTGCTTAATCATTACTTCTCCATTAATATGCTGCTGAAGGATTAACTAAATTATTTTTATTTCAGATATTGATGAATGCGCACCAAATCCCTGTAGAAATGGTGGGACATGTGTAGATGGTATCGGTGCATACACTTGTAAATGCGCTGCAGGCTATACTGGAAAAGACTGTACCACAGGTSAGAAACATTCAGTTCACATAATATCGGTTTTTATGTCTTCCTATTGWTTCTGCATGTGTTTGGGGGTTCATTTTGCAATGTTWTCAAMATTAAACTACAGTAGAAACCACTTACGTCCACTCGCTTAGTTATAACGACCAGAATAACGACSRGAATAACRACSAGAATAACRACCRKWAYAACGACCRKWAT